TATTATTGTCAACTGATGATTTGCTTCAGCAATCTCACAGGAAAGTAGCGAAGATGTAGGTGTCTAATCTGCGGAATTTTCTTATACAGTAGTCATGATCCGGATGACATCCTCAAAAGCCTGCTTCGAGGCCTCTTGGTGCATGAAAATGTTCTTGTCCTGGTGTACAGCTCTCACGGTGCTCAATTTGACAGGGCTTCCGGCACTTGTGCACGAGTTCCTGCACGGCACTCGAGGCCACCTTACGTAGTATGAGGAGACTATTGGCTGGTGTAACAAGTATGTGTCAGAGGCTCTCGTATTTTCGACATAAACTGATACATAATTCCTGTAGTTTCTCGCTGTCAACTCCCTGCTCAGGTGAGCCTAAGGCGACTTCTATGCTGACCTTGGTTGCTTAATATACGACTTCAGTTCTGTTGAAGAGGATTCCAATCTCTCGTATTTCAACATATTGTGCACTAGGCAGTTCACTAACGTAGAGGTACGTCATCCCGCTGTCATCGATGCAGCTCTGTAGTCAGCGGCCCACCATTTTTTCGCACCTGTGCATTTCTCCTGCTATGTAATGTATTACACCCGATAAATAATATGCCACAGTTGTATTTTGATTGGATCATCTGCGGGTGACTGGTCTGTCACGGAAGCGAACCGATATTGCAGTGGATTGATTAGTGTTATGGATGCAGCCTATACAATCATTAGTCGGTCTGGCAATGTATCACAATAGTTGGTATAATATTATACCATGCATGACCTTATGTAGGCTGCTAGCCTCGCCAGCCTTGCATGCTCTCGATAGTCATATGGGCCTAGCTACCTATTTTGGCTCTTACATCACCCCGCTGATTTATCATCATGGCAATACAAGACTGTAAAACAATAGCGGTCTCTCGTAAGCTGGCCGGACCTTACAAGGCCATACGAGTACATGCATGGCCATACATAATGCGTTCCTTTTTGCTGATGCAATGGCGATCTAGTTGGCGTCTAATTCTAGGAAACTATAATATACGAAGGGCGCTACGGTCTGCCATTCTGAATCTCATTAGAATGCAGATTTGAGTTCAACCTCCGCTCTAACATCTGCAACGCGTCCAGATCCTGCGGGAAGGCATCCAATACCAAATCGCTCACGTCTTCCAATATGCCGTCACGCACCTTTCGAATGAGCCTGACATGCACTCCAATCAGCGAATCAAAATTCACATGAACTTGGAAATGCACTCGGCCATGAAAATCGCTTCCTCCAGGAATCCACGGGATCCTCAGGTTCTCCTCTTGCTGTCAAATCATACGAGATCTCAACCAGTGGAATTAGATAGAAGCCGGGATCCGATAGCTTTGGGAAGAGGAAGGCATCAAACATCATATGAAGGTCTTCCATCTCGTCGGCGACGGTACAGGCTTCGGACTCATCGCCATCATCAGCGGTAGGTGGCGAATCGACGTTGTCACCGGACGCAGCCATGTCAGCACCGGCCACGTCGGGAGTAGCATCGTCAAGCGGCTTCTCGCTAACATCCGCTGTCTTGAGCCACTCCATCACGCGATCCGCATTCTTCGGGTCAATGGCTGCACCTACATCTTCTGCGACAGCCTCGGAATCATCCAGGAGCCTGGGCCGTGAACAACACTAATCCTCCGTCGTGGATTTTTGACGACTTCCTGTCAATACCGGCATTGGCGACCAACGTCAAGACACGGTCTTTCCTATCCTTGATACAGGTCGAGCCGGTGCAGAAAACAGCCAACCTCCGGTAATGCATCACGTCGTAGGTTGTCGTTTGCAATGGACTCACATGTGCCTTGCAGCGGATATAAAAATACAGTGCCTCTGACGGAAATCACTGAGGGCATTCTGAATGGTGTGCTCACGAAAGCCCAGGTCTGTTCATCGTCAGTCTGACGTTGATGCTTCCTGATAAGATGCCTCTGACAGTATTGGGCCGAACAGTTGCAACTCAACTCGGACCAGATCATCAGTTACGATGTCGAGCCGTTCCTTCCGACCATCCTCACGCACAGAGCCCCGTCGGCATACCCGTGGACGCGCACTGAGCGCTACCTGCCGTTGAACATATATTTCAGCTGGTCGGACGAGACTTTTGACAGCGAGTACTATGCTGCGATCACGCAGACTGCGACCAATCTGACGTCTGCTGCGGTGGAGGGGCAAACGAACATCTCAGGCGTGCCGCACTACCCGAATTATTCGCTGTACGGGACACCGATCTCGGACATCTGAGGCACCGCGCTGCCGACGCTCGTGGAGCTGAAGCGGACATACGATCCAAATAATGTGATGGGTCTTGCGGGTGGATGGAAGGTGCCAGCGTGACCAATTGATGTATGGGCTTGTATTTGAGTCCGTATACGCTCATAATTGCTATCCTGGATTAGAGGAAATTATTCCTACGGTCATCACAGCGCAGTTATAAAGTTGACAGTGCATCCGCGAGAGAGCGGCGCATCAGAACAATGAAATCCCCCGAGAGGAAATAGAAGACTCTCAAAGAACTTCAACACGGCCCAGAATTGATACCTGGCCGTTCAGCGGCCCAGCTGTGACGCCTTGGTTCCGTGTATGGTAGGTACGCACTTTCTCGACACTCCCACAACTCAACAAATATCACTAATTCTCTTTTAAAGATGCTCGACCAATGTAAATGCAGTTCCTATGACGACCTTGCACCATGTACGCGGATGCGCGTTCTACAACCCGTCTCAGCGCTCGGCAGAGGCTGCTAGCTTTTTGGTCTGTAGTCATCCTGGTCGGGCTATGTGGCCTCTGGCCAATCGTGCTGCCGCGCTGATAAAAGTGAAGCTTAACGATAAAAACAAACCACTGCCCATGCGTGCGTGCCCTATGGCTATTGGGCCTTCGAAACGAAATCAGCAGCGAACGCTGCATTGATATGATTAGATAGAGAATTTTCACAAAACATAACATTGATAGCAATCACAAAGCATGATCAGATCGTCTTTTCTCTGGCCGTCGGTCCGCCCGATGGCCAGGAGGTCAGAGTCAGAATGTCGTCGGGGCATGATCCTAGTCATCATGACTATCTCTAAGGCAAAAGAGTCTCCAAATGTTGACCGCCAGCGCGGAGACCTGATGCTGACCTCGGTTCACCGGACCTGTTGGATGACGGTCTTTAAAACACATCAACAAGGAATAAAGGGACATGCACAACTGCGCACCTTTTGTCGAGGGGAGCGGAGATCTCGTGCCACCCTTCTTCACTCGTACCAGTCGTCAGAATGACTGCGCCTCCAGTAAGGCAGTCTTGCTCTGAGCCTCTGATGAGGCCTCGAGCGGCGTATCAACTGAGCGCCCCACCTCTGTCTCTTGAATGTCCGAGAGATGGTTGATGGTAACTCTGTCGGAGTTCGGGTTGGTAGGCTCCGTAGAAGGGCCATCGGGCAAATCTTGAGCCAACGGCAATATGCCGTCCGGTGTTGCCGCCCGGGGGTCACCCAGCGTACCATCGCGTGCTTTCCGGATGAGCCTAGCCAAAAACGTAATCAGCGCATGAGAAGGTGCAAAGGTCCAAGTAAAACGAACTCAGCCATTGCCTCTGCTTCCTCAATAAACCCACGGGGATCAGCGCATTCTCCTCCTTCGGCCAAATCGAACGAGTAGCTGACAAGGGGCACGACATCGATATCATCAACTTTAGCACGGAATGGACCAAGGACGGCCTCAACGATGGCATCAGTGTCGGCATCGCTGTCAGGATTAAGCACGAGAAATTCAGCGTCGGAATCGCTGTCGACACTGTCGGGGTACTCTGTGTCAGTGTCGCTATTGAGCGTAGGTATACGGTCATCTTCTGCAGTGATTGCGGCGTCAAAGCGCTCAGAGACAGCATCTTCGTGCGGACATAGCGCGCCATCTTGATCCTCGCTGCAGTCGACCGCCTGAAGCCAGTCTCGCACATTCACAGCGTCATTCGGAGGGACAGATGAGTCAGGATTGGCTACGATCTCTGAGAATGTTGGGGCCTCCGTTTCCATAGGCGGAGGCGGAGGGCCTGAAAATAGTGTGACGGTCAACTTCACATCGCAATATGAAGTCAAAATTTATATTCACTCTGCTGTGCGCGTAATGCTTGGTGCTGCGCCCAATCCTCACTAAGGTATTGTTTATGTCTCGTCCTTTCCTCAAAAGACACTATTACAGCATCATCGTGATGTATGTCACGAGTAGGTATGCGGACGGTCGCCCAAACGGAAGAATGCTGATAGCAATTCGGGAATGGGAATGGCTTTGATGTTTGAAGGGGTTCACGACCCGCTGGATGCTCGCTACAGGGCTCGATTGGCGTGCACATACTCGATGTTGTGAACTTCTCAGGCTGGTCTCTGGGCATGCCAACCCCCGCGAACTGTAACCTACAACGATGCCACGGATGACGACGAAGAGGAAAGTCATAGACCTATCGTCATGAATGAGTAAGCGGTTGGCCAACGACGCTAGGCACACACCGAATCCACAAACGCTATATACTTGCGGGGTGTCAATTTGCTTGCGACAGCTGTAAGACGTGAATCGTCGAGGCATTCGGCCATGCGTACGGGATCCAGCCATAGCGCGATATATGAGCCGTGACGTGGAATATAGCCGGTTGTGCGCAAGTCCGACTGCATCGTTGCCTATCCTGAGTATAGCAGTGTGCAGTTCCTGTAACAACTTTGCACCATGTGCGCGGCTGCGTGTGCTACAACCGTTTCCGAAACTAGGTGCGTATAAAGTTGCCGCTTAAATGTCGCTTCGAAAGAAGCGACAATGCGCTGCTTTTGGAGCACCCGGATGTGGCTGGGAAGGACGCAGAAACGGTTTCGTATGACTAAGCAAGATGACCCTATGATCTGATCACGTTCTCGCCTCGCGAAGGGGGAAGCAGCCAATGAGGTCGGTGAATTATGCAGGCGTGATGACGTACTGCATTGGACGAGAGACAGTGTGCGAGGAATCGAAGTCAACAACGCTGTACATACACAATGAGTCTCGACGGGATTCTACTGGTTTACCCTTCGCATGGATTGAGAGAAACAACAGGGTATCGCGTGAGACATCATAACAAGTCGTGGTTGAAACCCGAGATGATCTCGCGAAGATTTGCCACGATCGATACAGCATGAAAGGAATTCTGCAAACGAGTCGACTGCTCATCCGTGCTCTTGACGCGGCCATAGTTGATTCCCACGCCTCTATGTTCTCCTCTGATGTTCAGCCTAGCCTTGTCTCTATATTCTCGTCCACGGGGAGCGAGCCTCTTAGTACTTTTTTGTCAAGCACGGACAAGTCACTACCATCAGATTCGTTCATATGCTTTTGCAACGACGCGACGTCTCTGCCACATCCACGACTACCGGCTACTCTGGTCTCACCTTCTACCAACGAGCAAGGCGCACCGGACTATGCTCTACAACAGACCGTTCTGCATATCCAATCCCCTACTCTTCGCACAACTTTCATCCGCTGCCCTCCATTTCGCGATGCCAACGGTCCTAGTGGACATCTCGGCATGAAGCATCCCTGGATCCACTTCCAGGTTCGCAACATGGGCCGTGAATGTTCCTTGGAGATTGGATTGGTTGACCAGTCTGGCAGAGAGGGTGTGGTCAGATGCTCTACATTCCAGGTACTGTACTTTTGTGTTCAAATCTCTCGAACAAGTATGATGGCCTTTATGTCGCTGAGTTTCCGCGTAACGTTCCAATTTCGGGCTTCATGAGCTCGAACTTCAGCCCATTAGCTGTGTACTCCCGTAATGGCACAGGATGTCGGTTTGTTGAGTTTCACAGCAGCCTCACTACCCCAAAGTCGGGACGGTACTGGGATTTCTGGCCAGCCTATTCCGAGATTGCCAGGAATCCTGGTGTGAGATCATAACTATTTACTTTGCTTCACCTCGTACCTTGCTCAGGCGTACTGAAACAAGTACTGAACAGAGAGAGCCATTGCTCCGCCTGGGAAACCCTCCCCTCCTTCATTTACCCCTCTTACTACCGTCGTCCTCCTCCCGTCTGCTCACATCGTGGTGTACGATCAACCTGAACCTCCCCGCATTGCTTCCACACTTCTTGTCCGCTTCTCTCTTGCGCCCCGACGGAGACGAGGACGCGGATTCACTGGACAGCGACGACGAGGACGACGGTGACGTGCCCTTACCGACCGCGTCATCGGCCCGCCAGCGCGTTCCACAGAGGGGATTATACCAAGTACCTGCAGGGACGTACTCGTACGTCTCGTACGTCAAGGTATACGCCACATGCCGATTGAGGCGAATATGGTTCAGCGAGGACGGGCCAAAACAGAGGCTGCCATGGGAGTTTCAGCTTTATGCAGCTGATTGACGGTAGCGGTATCCCTAGTTACAGATGAGAATACATCCGGTCGTTACATTATTTACGTGTTGGAGATGGTACATCGGCGATGAAGTGCAATGAAGCTATTTTATCTCGTATCTCGTAGCAAGCCGTCTAACGACGTAAAGTATAGCGACTCCAAGGGCATATTGCGATGAATGAAATTTCATTTATCACAATATTTCCTTGGAGTAGAATGCCAAAGGCATTTGGCATCAGGGTGATCCCGGATCGGACGAACTCTGGCTTGGGTACGGGTCGTGCCCAAGCCAGAGTTCGCCCTTAAAGGATTCCGTGACTGTGCAAGGTTGGCTTCAGGCGGTAGCCTGTAGTGAAGATGAAGATGAAGCCCGGCGTATGCACGAAGTCATTGTCTTTAGGCACCTTAAAGCCGCCATCACCACAGAAGACGATCACACATTTACGCTCAATGGCACCACTAACACAAAGTACCTTGACGATGTCGAAAACAGTGGCACGCTTACCGTCTACGGAGGAGAATGCGCCGACTCCCATGGCTTTATCGAGGAAGCAGATGCAATGACTGATTTTGTTTTGCTAAGACCGTTTCACTTCCTCATGCGCTAATGATGATTTCAGCTGGGCTCATCTGAAAAGCACGCAACAGCGCGCTGGGAGATCATGGGGCGGCAAAACCTGACAATGCCGTTTATTCAATGTCAGGTCGACGGCCCAGGTTCTGGCACGTGAAACGAAAGAAGAGGAGGTGGCACGAGGGCTTTGCTTTCCTCGTTGAAAGGTGCGCAGTTGCACACGTTCCCGTGTGTCTTATCAATTTATGCTCAAGACCGACACCCAACAGGCCCGGTGAAGCGAGGTCAGCATCAGGTCTGCGCGCTGACCGCCGACATCAGGAGGCTCCTTTGGCTTCGTGATTTTCATGACGACTAAGATTATACCCCGGAGACGTTCTGGTTCCGACCTCCTGATCATTGAGTGGACAGACGGCGGCCATCTGTCCACTTAAGTCATGCAGCACAATCAGACCATGCTGTATGATTACTATCGATGTTAGCTGTGATGTAGCTATGCTTTTAGACCACCTTCTATCTAATCAATCATTTCAACGCTTTACTCACGCACAGGGAAAGCCAGGAAGAGAGACCCTGGACCAAACCAATAGAACACGAAGATCTAATGCCAGCGCCTTCTCTGGTACCACACACGCTACCTGCAGCCTGGAATACTGGAACAATGCAACCTCTCAACTGGCTGGAGGCGATTTCCCGGCGATATGCATCATCTCGTTGTCCGTCAGAATTCGATGGGAGACTCCTGCGGAGATAGGTGTTGTGACCTCAGATGGTGAGTCAAGTAGACCGAAAAGGGCAGTGCGAGATCCGAATTAGGCAATGGCTTCCTGCTTCGGCTCCTGCTTCTACGAGAATTGAGACCACACGGATCAAATCACGTAATTTGCGAATACGGCGATCGTTCGTTTCTGTGTTGCAGAGCCTTTGATTGGCTAGAAGACTCTCTAGTGCATCAGCACTCAGCGGCCTGGTGAGACCTGCATGCAGCCTTGAGGCTCCTGATGGATCGATCTTGAGATCCATGTGACTTTTGTGCCTTTGGCAATGGGAGAACAATGAGGATGTCCAAACATTTCGCATGTCCAGTAGATGGGTAGATGAGGGACGATACGGGGCACGGACTCCGAGTCGGAGCTAGTGCCATGCATGCAAAGTCATCAAGACGTATGACTGACTAATAAGAGTTATGTGACAGCAATCAGCAAAATGAATCACTTGGTCAGGAGAGTCCACCCGCGGATTGTCTCGGTATTGTCCGACTAAAATCCAGGTCGTGCGAAGGTTTGTAGATGCAGGCATCTATTGATACAGTCCGTACCCGCCGTCCTCCGGGCTGCTACAATGTACAGTTTGATGGGTGAGTAACTCATGCTGAAGCTTCTAAGTTCTGCCCCAACATCAGCACGTTGTCCTCTTGACGTGCTGATATGCTCATTGTCTGTTCTATCTACGCTCATGACGCGAGAGCACACCCCCATCAGTGGGGAGACGACACTTCGAATGTTTCTGTATGTAGATCAAGCCGTGCTTATTATGTTTGGTCATAGTATCGGGCCTGTAGATGACACAGGGGGATCTCGGACTACATGGCTCTAAGGCCAGGTCACTCACATTCGTGAGCCCATTTTCTACAAGCTTCGGCATTTCCCGAAGCATGCTATTCTTGAACAGCACATCCGACCAACAGGCAACTTTGTGAGCATCTCTTTAACATTCTTGAGGCTCTCCTCTGAATGATTGAGGAAGGCAATGCCAGCTCCGTTGACAACTACATTTGTGCCTCATTACGGTTCATATATCGCACTTTGGCTGGATCCGGTCACCATGGCGGAATGCCTCGATGATCCATGTCTCGCTGCTGCTGCGAGCGGACTGACACCAAAGAAATATGTCGCATATGTGGAACTTGTGTGTCCCCTGGAAGGTCAAACTTCTCTCAAACGTTCTTTAACGCAGGACGATAGATCCAGGACTTTCTTCTTCCTGATCGTCCGTGACACCGTTGTGTTGTACGCTTCGTAGGGATTGGCATGCCAAAGGACCAGCCAGAACAATGCATCTATTCGAGTATGTCCACGCCTATTTATTCCGATAGCGAACACTCAGCGGGTCGTGAACCCCTTCGTCCGTCGAAGCCGCTCCCATTTGCGAATTGCTATCAACATTCTTTCGCTTGGGCCACCGTCCGCATACCTACTTACATCACGGATTTTTCCGATGCCGTGACGCTATCCCTGGGCGAGAGGAAAAGAACTTATCAATATCTCGATATCTCGACGAGGACTCGGATAGGCAGGAAGCGCTACTCGATCAGCGAAGTGAGCATTCTTTCCAATACGTCATGTAAAGCCGATTGTTTCACGATTGCTAGACCCGCCACCTGCGAAAAAAAGAGTTGCAGTCACCGTCATCCATGCCCGTATATAGTTAGTCACGCAGACTAGCATCTAGCAATCCTGTGATATCAAAAGAGGAAATATGACCTCGATCACCGTTGTGTCAGAGAACCCCGGGCTTACCCTAAGAGTCATGACCTTCCCAAGATCGCTGGATAACTATAGACGCTGACCGCACATCACTGCTCGGAGATGCTACCAGGCGGGTGCTACTACTTAGCACTGTGTTCGCTGCGAAGACTGTAGCATAGTACGATAGATGCATTCATGATTACCAAACATTCGATACGAGCAGAGTGGGGAGGGGGAGGGGGGAGGTCACAAAATGAGTCCTTCATATTCACACCGGATACCCTGACGGGACCTCGCATGTCTGATAGATGTGGAGTCAGTTGGCAATAGATAGCAAGGAGATGTCGCAACAGACTTTGAGTGAAACCGCAGGAGAGGACGAGTATTATTAAAGAAGAATCACGAGCCCTCAAGGTTGCCGATAGGCGATCGGGGTCCTGTGCGTCCGCTAGGACCGCTATGCGAAGAGGGTCTACGAGACTGAATGATCATGAGCAATGATTCTACAAGTTCGAACAATTCGTGCCATACCCGAGGTATTCCCTGTTTGCGGCGGCGATACTTCTACATATGACAGTCAGTATGTCAGGGCTTGACTACCAAACGGAGTAAGTACGTACCAGATATTCATCCGTTGCCTGCTTCCTGAGAGTCGTATCTAGCATGCGCTGCTGCCAGGACCGTCTCAGGGTGTCGCACGTCGTTGTCAAATTTCCGAACCCCAGCGCATCAAGACGGGAAGGAGTGCGACTGCCGCGGTCATGCCACAGCTCTTGAACCGCGACGTGAGGATCAATAAGATAGGCTATCAAATATTGATTGGTACGACTCGATTCTGGCCATCGAGGAGTAGTATGGATGACGCGTCCATCAGGGGGCTCTACGTCCGGGTCGACAGGTAAGGAGAAGTATTGGTATACTTCTGGCATGGAGGCCACGCCATTACCATGGTAGGTAGCCATGAGGCAAACAGCAGGAGCATTTTCCTCCAGCCTGCCCATGAAGACGCACGGACGAGGGCTTTGCGTGGATGAATTGGTAGTATATGAACTGTCCTGCCCCGCATTCGTAAAGTACATCGGAGAGCCGGCGATACCGAGCGCTTGCTCTATTGGAATAAGCACGCTCGCGACAATGCGACAAATGTCGCCAGGCTGAACTTCGTAGGTGGGGGCCGACGCGCGAGACATTTCAGCGATATACTGGAGAGAGACTGAGAGAGAGAGGACTGGGAGAGAGATATAGGACGGAGAGAGAGAGAGACTGAGAGAGAGCGCGGTGAGCACAACTTGCAAGGTCATGGCTTCCGAGACATTTATAGGTGGCAGGCTTGCTACATGAGTTGTATCAAGGCGACCCTCGGGTACTGTCAACAAAAGCGATGAAATGATCCCGTCGATTTCGCCGGCTTCTCGATACCTACAGATAAGCCCCTGGTCAAGTTAAACGGTGGGTCATCATGACCCGAAATGTCAGTTTGTACTGAATGCACACTCATGGCATAAAATGTTATGGCGTACCAGCTGATCGGCCCCCGGCATGGTCTGCGCTGAGCCTAATGGGGCGTAATCATGCAGTGCTCTTTTGAGGTGTTTGATTCTTATCGGTGGAACCGGAACATAGGCGGCCGATCTACCTTTAACCCACGATACCACTCTCCCATAATCATTAAAGGCTTCCCTGGAAGATAATGATGGTAGAGTGGACCATCTCAATCTCGAATATTCTGAACCAAGCTCGTGTGGCATTGTAAGTGTGCGATGATGGTCAAAGCAGTGAGGGCCAATGCCAGACCTATGTTCCCTGTCTATCGACAAGATAAAACAATTCAGGACTTAATTCCAAACTATGGAAAATTGTACTCAAAAGACTTGTGATAATTGTGAGATTGATCATCGTGCGGAATGACACAAGAGTCATCACAACAGATAGCACCGAGTAGATCGATCCAAGTAAATGGGACAATAGCGTGTGCGATCAGGCTAGTATTTGGCATAATTTTGTCTCTGTGGGTCCATTCAAGAGCTGACTAAGTGAGTTCGGTAATTGCCGTAAGATACACCACACGTCTCTTAAGCATCTCCCTCCACCCCACCCCCGCGTCTGCTCATTCATCGCATCGTGCATTTCTATCCTCGTCCTCCATGCCGCCGGACTTGTCAACAATTGAATTTGATCCAACACGTGGCATATACCTTGCTCTTTGGCTGGACCCAGTCAAGATGGCGGAATGCGTTGACAACCCTCGCGTGCGAGCGGCAGCACGCAAACTCTCTCCTCGCAAGTATATTGCACATGTAGATGCGGTATAATCTTGTATGCTAGTCCGAGACTGTATCTGACCTCTTTCGACAGAATCTAGATTTCCCCATGCCCGATCGTCCATGGCATCGTAGCGTCATACGATTTGTTGGGATGGGTATGCCGGAAGACCAACCAGACCAACAGATAACGTCCGACATGTGTGTTCCTATATATCCGGCAAGCCGACATCCCACAGGACGCGAGCCTCTCCGTCTTTCACAATCGTTCCCATTCGCGAACTGCTATCAGTATTCTCATGTCTCCGCAACGGTGCGCATCTCTACCGAGTTGAGGGACTACAGAGACGCCATATCGCTACCTGTATCAGAGATCCTCAGATATTATCGCTTATTGGATGAAGATAGAAGCAAGCAAGATACTCTGCGTGACCAAACAGGTCATGTATAGTCGGGATACGTGCCTCAGTCATCAAAGCTGACGCCTTTAACTCAGGTGTATCGCCGGTACGACCGGTATCAGTGCAGCCGGATACACAGCTGGATGACCCCGAAGCTGTCGCTGAAGATGTAGATGTAGCCGTCGACCTGAAGAATGCGGATCGCGTGGCAGAGTGGCTCAAGACAACAGACGGTAGCGAGAAGCCGGTCGGTCCTGATGATGCTGACTCCGACGTGGCCAGTGCCGACATGGGCATGGATCTGTCCGGTGACGACGTCAGTTCTCCATCTGCTGCCGATGTTGGCAATGAGTCCGAAACCTGTACCGTCGCCGACGAGATGGAAGACCTTCATGAGATGTTTGATGATTTCCTCTTCCCAAAGCTCTCAGATCCCGCCTTTGACCTGATTCCCCTGGTCGGGATTTCATATGATTTGACAGCAAGAGGAGAACCTGCGGATCCCCGTGGATTCCTGGAGGAAGCGAATTTTATGGCCGAGTGCGTTTCAATGTCTATGGGTATCTCGATTCGCTGACTGGAGTGCACATCAGGCTCATTCGAAAGGCGCGTGACGGTACACTAGAAGATGTGAGCGATTCGGAAGCGGTTGTCGCCGCCATGCCCACCGGCGGTGTCCAGAAGGAAGAGAGCCTCATCCAGGTGCCTGCGGCGGAGCACGCTTCTGCGCAGGGATTGCCTGCGAGCGACTCGGATACTACAGCAACCGAACACCTTGCCAATATGCTGTCCACGGCGCTACTCGAGACAGCGAACAGACCGCTCGTGCCTGAGGCTGATCCATCGCCACACGCAGAGAAGGATGTTGTCAATACTTCATCTCGCTCATCGAAAGGTTCGTGTTCACGCACGATGTTTACACAATACTGATGTATCTCCCTGAAGCTTGGTTCCCTGCGAAGCTTGCTGGGCTTGTACGTCGTGTCAGCGCCCGGATTACTGCGGTCTCAACAAGCATTCTCCGAGCGGTTCGTCTCCGCAATGTGCGTGATGACGAGCATTGATGGTATTCTCATACGGGGTATGGCGCCATGGATGCCTACTCAGAATATACTGACTGGAGCACAGCCTGAGCCCACAACGACGGATTTGTTCACAAAAGGAAACGTTCCTATTCATTATATCATTGATCTTGATCAGCTATACTGTATATGCTTTCACTTCGCTGTGTGAATGATGGTATCCTCCAGTACGCAACTACCCATGTATTGCCGCGATAGCAGAGACACCAGCCTTGACGCGTGAGCAGTGATTTTGTTCATCCGGTCCATTCATCTCCGCCCAGAGGCAAAGAAGGGTATTAGTCATTCAGCTGCGTGCATATGGAATACACGCGGTAGCCATTGCCTGGTCCTCTCACACGACACTCCGACTAGGACAAACCTGCGTCCTAGTCGGGGTGTCGTGCGACACAAGAGACATGTGTGAATACATCCCTGCGGGCGCTATACCGGACATCACATGCATTCTTACCTGACGAGCAAACGCCTGCTCGCAATGGGATGCGCCGATAGATCTGAAGCTTGAACGACAGAAAGAGATTACTGCCCACGTGTACATGCTCTATGTGGCTCACCTGCCTGTACTCACGGCTGAAAGCGGCCCGCTAGAGTGATATCACAGTAAGTACTGCTTCTCACGTACAACTACGCTCAATTTTGTGAACCCCAGGTTTCAGTCAAATCACGCCGGTTGCCTGATCGCCAGACCGGTATTTAACAGGATAGGCAGCTGAGCCAAACAACGCACACACATGCGGGTGGCACCGTGGTCTATCATTTTGTCGTCAGGAGAGTCGAGGAGCCAGAGGGAGGATAATGCATTTGAAATGGTTTATCCGGGCTGATAACGTGGACGGGAGCCGTTCCAAGAGCTGAAAGTAGGTCGCAAGGCGCAGCGCTACACTACACAACGAGATACTGGATATGGTCATGATCTCGGCCGTCTTCTCGTACTGGGTCACTCAAGTAACCTTGTTTGAATGTTCATGGAACTGTATGAGATTAGAAGAATGGGCTGCCATGAACGTGAGCGCTGAGCTAACTGTCCTTAAAGCTATGGGCTCCAGAGCCCCTCCGTCATCCAGGATCCTATGCGAGCCCGACGGCCGGTGACCAAAGATAAGGCCCAGATATAGTAAGTACCGCACGATGTACATACGAGAACTTTATCCGAAGTGTATCGGAGAGATGCCACAGCTTCCAACGTCGTGTCGTCGGAGCTGCTTGGGCGTGAGATACTCGCCCAGCCAATTCTACATGAGCCTAAGGGGCGACAGGGACATACTGCACCAACAAGTGGCCTGCATCTGCGAACCTTCGCATGAATACATATCTTGAATCAATGGCACCTATCACACAACGCCGGAGACAATCCGCCTGCTTTCGCTGTTCGCCGACTCCTTTTGGTCACTCGTATCTCTTGATGGCCTTGCAATCCTGCCATCATTGAGAATTAACTCCGCCGTCCCTGCGGTACTAATGAGCAGTAGCACCGCATGGCAGCACCGCCGACTCCGAGCTTCGCATCGTCTCCCGTCCACCCATCTACCGGGACATGCGGCATTCCTAGTACGCGCTCTCGTCATCGTCCACGACCACACGCTGAGCAGGCACACGAATGCCAGGCTAGATCCCTCATACGCCTCGAGATTGCATGCAGGTCTCAGAAGGCCGCCGAGCGCTGATGCACCAGAACCCCTTCATAAAGATTCTTCTATCCAATCAAAAGCTCTGTAACACAAGAACGAACGACCGTCGTGTTCGCAAATTACGTGATCTGATCGGTGTGGTCTCCATTCTCATAGAAGCAGGGACCGAAGCAGGAAGACATTGCCTGTTCCGGATCTCGCACTGCCCCTTTCGGCCTACTTGACTCACCATCTGAGGCCACGGTACTTGCATCCGCAGGAATCTTCCAGCGAATTCTGACCAGCGCCCAGGAAGAAGGTGCATATTGCCGAGAAGTCTCCAGCCAGCTGAGAGGTCGCATTGTTCCCGTATTCCAGGCTGCAGGTAGCGTGCGTGGTACCAGAAGGAGTTAACAACAGATGCCTTGGGTTCCTTTGGAAGTTTGGTCCGACATGCGTGCGAGTGTAATGTTGGAATGAGTGCCCTCGGCCGCAGTGCATTGCAATTCTATCCCACTCACCCGGTAGCATATTCCCGCACTTGTAAATCGAGATTGCCAGTAGATCGCGGGTGCGTGGTGCGTGAAGACCGTAAGCAGCCGTCAGAGCCTTCGAAAAGAAGTCAGCAACGAATACTGCATTATTGATTAGATGGAATGTATTTTCAAACACGACACGAATACGTCACAACTAACATCAGTAGCAATCACAAAGCACGAGCAGATAATCTTTTCTGGCCGTCTGGCCACCCAATGGCCAGGACCTCAGACCCAGGATGTCGTCAGGTTATAATCCTAGTCGTCATGAACGTCCCGAAGACAAAGGAGTCTCTTGATGTTGACTGCCAGCGTGGAGATCTGACGCTGACTTCGCTTCACCAGGCCTGTTGGGTGACGGTCGTAAGGTCATATTAATGAGGTACAAAGGGACGTGCGCGACTGCGTACCTTTTGTCGAGGAAAGCGGGGATCTCTTCATTCGTATCAGTCGCCAGATTGACCGCGGCTCCGGTAAGGTGGTCTCGCCCTTAGTCTCTGACGAGGACTCCGGCGGCGTATCAGCTGAACGCTCTACCGCCGTCTCCATAGTGCCCGAAAGATGCTCTGTGGTAGCATTGCCGGAATCTGCATTGGTGGGAGCCTCATCGTGTACCACATTAAGCTCCGGAGTGGTGCCCTCAACCACACCTTGAGCCAACGGCACCACACTGTCAGGTGTTGCCGCCCGAGGATCACCCAGCGTACCATCGCGTGCTTTCCGGATAAGCCTAGCCAAATTCGCAATTAGCGCATGAGGAGGTGAAAAGGTCGAAATATGACGAACTCGGCCATTGCCTCTGCTTCCTCAATAAACCCACGGGGATCAGCGCATTCTCCTCCTTCGGTCAAATCGAACGAGTAGTTGACAAGAGGCACGACATCGATATCATCAACTTTAGCACGGAATGGACCAAGGACGGCCTCAACGATGGCCTCAGTGTCGGCATCACTGTCAACATTAACTTGAAGGAGATTATCAGCGTCGGCATCGCTGTTGGCACTGCCGGAGTACACTGTGTCAGTGTCGCTGTTGAGCGTAGGTATACGATCATCGTCTGCAGTGATGGCAGCGTCAAAGTGCTCAGAAACAGCATCCTCGTGCGGACATAGCGCGCCATCTTGATCCTCGCTGCAGTCGACCGCCTGAAGCCAGTCTTGCACATTCATGGCGTCAATAGGAGGAACAGGTGAATCGGAGTTGGCTACGATTCCGGGAAATGTTGTGGCCTCCTCCGCTTCCACAGGCAGAGGGGGAGGGCCTAGAAATAGTGTGACGGTCAACTTCACATTACGACATGAAGTTAGAAATCATATTCACTATGTTGTGCGCGTAATGCGTTGTGCTGTGCCCAATCCTCACTAAGATAATCTTCATGTCTCATCCTTTCCTTTAGAGACAGTCTTATGGCATCGCCATAATCTATGTCACGGGTAGGTATGCGGACGATCGCACAACCGAAAGAATGCTGATAGCAATTTGGGAACGGGAATGGCTTTGACGGATGGAGGGGTTCACGGCCCGCTGGATGCTCACTTGAGGGGTTGATGGGTGTGCACATACTCGATGTCTTGAATTCCTCCGGCTCGTCTTTGGGCATGCCAACCCCCACGAACTGTATGACACAACGATGCCATGGATGACGACGAAGAGGAAAGTCATAGACCTATCGTCCTGAGTTAGTGAGCGTTTGGCCAAGGACGCTGAACACACACCTCATCTATATATGCTATATACTTTCGGGGTGTCAATTCGCTCGCGACGGTCGTAAGACGCGCATCGTCGAGGCATTCGGCCATGCGTACGGGATCCAGCCATAGTGCGATATATGAGCCGTGAGGTGGAATATAGCCAGTTGTGCGCAAGCCCGACTGCATCGTTGTTTATCCTGAGTATAGCACAAGCTGAGGGTGAGAGATGGGCGGAACGATTCACGGGAGAGCCACTGTGGTGCCCCACCTAAGGACAGCCTGGAAATGGGCACAATGGAGGCGCTGTCACCTGATCACTTGGTCGATATTGGCGGGCGTGAGTAGATAATGTCATTTGGAATCGCAACTCGGTCAAATCAGATAAGCTTCCTGCCCGGGCCAAACCGCCCTGATGCCCGCCCCGGCACTCGTTTTGGTCTGCCCCCGTCAGTGATCCGGTCCTTAGCTGCCGGAGATCCTGTCCCCTATTGGCGGCTCCGCTCGCCCTCTCCGTGGGGACGGGCAATTCTCTGCCAGCCGGCACTTTCCGGTGACCAACAGCGCTCGCAGATTTCACTATTTTGAAACTGGGCATCCTGTCTACAGCATTCAACAGCAACGATTGTATCTCATTTTCCCAGGAGCAAGTGCTCAGATAGAAGCCCGCGACAAAATCTTGCAAGCGGAATTCTCGTTTTCTTAAGTAAAAGTTCAAATCATGCATGTCAGTGGAGGTGAAATGCACTATTTCCTCTTTTGGACAGCATGTCCGTGGGTGTGCGGTCAGGTCGCATCAAGATACTTCGCAGCGAAAGGCTTCTGAAAAATGCGGGTATGAAGAGGTACTATGATTTTACTGTGTCTTATCTCTTGTATATACTTCGATAGTGGTGTAGCTATGGGGGCGTACTGGGATCTTAATTACCTTGACTAGATCCTGAGCCCGGTCGTCCTTACTAAGCGAATATTTTCTTCGAGGGATTGCCCGTCCCCATAACTCGAATGGGAGCCATTCGGAACCAATCTCGGCATCGCTGTCGGCCGCCGTCCAGCGCATCTCAACGGAACTACCCATTGCCAGACTTTTCGAACCAATTGAAGGCCAGGATCACGTACGCCTTTCACATTCGAGTAAACCTGGGTGCGCGCCGAGACCGCTCAGGTGGGACGGTAATACATTTTCGATTCTTGACTGCTACTGGCATAGGTATAATTCGACTATCGAGATAAGGTTTACGGCGATCTTCTACTGGCCTCAACAGCCTTAATGCAGTAGCCCCTGTCACCCCTCCCGGAGATCCTGGCTAGTTCCTCGTGCGGGCGCTTGCGCTCATTACCCTGAATCATGGATTCATGAAAGACGCTGTCTCGCACCCAGCCGATTTCATCCCGCATCTCATCTCCGGTTAATCCGCAGTGGTAGGGATCGGGATTAAACCGGATGGGTACGAGACAAGAAAGACGTTTCAGCCTCGAGGCTCCAGCTTCTAGTGCTGGAGAACGCCTACGAGAACGTGGTCTCCTAGCTGCCTAGTACAGATATGTCCTTTGACCTCGAAGAAGCACTGGTGGGAAGGCTGAAAACCGTTCTTTGGGTATACCATTTTTGTCCAATCGCCACAGAAACACAATATAAGTTGCAAGGGATGGCCTACTAAACGCGTCTCTCCAGGCGTCCGCCAAGTATCGTCACCCCCCATCTGACTATGCAAGCTGCACCCGATACCGCCAGCACCTATCAAGTGGGAGAGATTCGCGCCACCTCGGTTAGCATCTATGCCCCCTTTGACATGATGCTTTTTCCCTATGCCTCTCAAACATCTGTCCCTTCGACAAAATCGGGACGTTCCGTGAAGTCGGCCTTTGGCAAGTCTCGACCCTGTGTGGTGATGCGAATAAACGGGATAACGGCGAAACCCTCAGTCTGCTTAATAACGTCGCTCGGAGGTAATACCTTGTCCACTATGCCAACGGTCTGGCAGCATTTCTGTATTCCTGTTGATCCGCCATCCGCCGACAATCCTGAGCATAGCCTGCATATATCTCCTTCGTGGATTCATCTGGAGGGGCGCGACTCGCATGTGATCGCCCTACCGTTCCCGCCAGATCAGCGTATCCAACACCCGTTCAACCCATGGACAGATCCATCTGGCCAGACACATCCACGCTGCCTCAGCAGGAAGGAAATGTACCGGTTCAGGTTTATTTGCGAAGGAATAATGGAAGAATGGCAGCAGCGCGAGAAGGACGAACCGGGTTTCCTAGAGAGAGCGTTCAAAGAGTACCAGGTACGGAACCACTCATCCCAATTGTTACTTGTACTCAACTAAGTTTTATACAGGATAACCGCAGAGCTGCGAGACAGCAAGGCCAGGCTCAGAGTGGGGATGCATTGGTGTGTTATGATGCATCTGCGCATAGGACGATCGTTGATGAGGTTGTCGATAGAACCCAAACAACTCTAACCCCAACGTGGGATCGAACCCGTTGTCGGCAGTCGCAGAGGTGTCTGGGGAATAAATAACGTGATACGTAGGCAGTCAGTCACTCATAGCTATCACTTGCGATGGTCGCTGATATCCGCACCTACCGCCAGGAAGACTTCATCCCAGCGAGACCAGAGCTTGTTAACTGTAGCACCTGTATTGGTAGGAGGCAATGTATGCATGACGACCACCGACAGCAATGCGGCGTCGGGTATTCCTTCCACGCAAAATGGCGCGAACGGCATGCCGTACTGCGACTCTTCATTAAGGGTGCATGTTAGAAATAAATACAGCGATTGCAAAGCACGACTGGAACGACATTGTGGGACGTAGCATGCTGCGGTCTCATAACGCTGACGGCTCTGCTATTAAGTAGTTTCTCACAGCACCCTTGATGGTGCTCAGAATTGCCTTGCGTCGCACTCTGTTTTCTGGCAGCTCATCCTTCCCCGTTGCAAGTCCATAGAGGTATGCAAAGTCAGCCTGCGCGACCAGTGGTAGCCGGCCAGAAACCTTGTCCTTTTTCTTGTCGGTCTTCTCCTTGAAGTTCCGTGCAAAATCCTTGGATACTATATCTGCGCGCTCGACGACGTCCGAGGGCACCCCAGCCAAGCTGGCAACGTGTGTGCCGAAGGAGGAAGATGCGGCACCTCCGATAAGCTTATAGAGAAAGACCAGCTGTGACATATGCATTTAGAGTCGTCCTGAAATTGACTGTCGGTGAACACCACTAACCTCCCGCTTCTCGTCATCCACCATTGTTTCCATATGCATATTGCGAATGTTGGGATGATATGCAAAATCGTCAGTCAAGGAACCATAGTGCGTCGCGAAAAATGAGAGAGCCAAGGTATGCGTCGCCAGCTGGTGTAACACAGCCTACGGACATGATACGGTTATCAAATGAGTCCGATAGTCATCCTACGGCCTACTCACCCCTGCAATAGCCATCCCGTCCTGCATGGCATGCATGAGTTGGCGCTATGTCAAACGAGAAGTGCACTCACATATGTCGAGGTACCTCTCCCCAATTCTACATGCCCAAATGCCATTCGCGTCAGAGTGCACACCACACAGTGGTAGTATTACATACCGTCTAGGATCACCAACGACTGTGGCGTGGCGTCTCGCAAAATCTTACAGCTTCAAGCTGCCTCAGCATCGAGTGTAGAGAAATAGGCAATCCTCACCATTCATCCAGCTCAACTTTGAACGTACTTGCATTGGAAAACATGTTGTCGTAGGCTCCCATGCGAGTAAGAATAGCATCGACAGGACATAGCCTAAGGTATCAGTATGTAAGTATATAGGACTCCTATTGTACTGTGATGCTGTGCCTACCGCGCTTGTCTTGCTGGCACAAACATCCCAAGTTGAGCCATGATCTAATATCAATCCGCCCATCCGTCAGACTGGACAACGATTGTCGACCGGCAGGAGATCTGACTTACGACTCCAGTAGCAGTCATGCGCATAGCCTGAGTCGTCCGTTAGAATCACCCCTATCCAGCGAGAATAGCGGAACTCACTGTAGATTTTCCTCTGTGTACGTCCAAGATCGCCATGAGTATGCGTAAATCTAGGCTTGCTAGAGGACCTTACCCCATATTCGGTCCTATTCAAGGAGCATCAGTCAATCCACGTAGATCCAGAACACAAGTTAGACCAACCTGTAAGCAAAGCTATTCTGCCCACGTCACCGCCCAGCTTGACGGAATTGGGTATGAAGTCGCCCTTAAGCCCGGTGCTTGCACAGAGAGCAGGATGCCTAAGCTCCTCAAAGTCAACCCACGCGGCGTCACCTTCGATCAGCTCAGGTCTGCATGCGGGTTCCCCAAGAGCGCTCGAGGCCTTGGCCAAACTGAACAAGCAGTCCATTTCCGAAAGGACGCGAATAGCATGCAACCACACTGCACGGTCTGTGTCAAACTCCGCATACAGTCGGTTTTTGAATTCCTTGATTGCAGTGTTACGATTCTCGCGCGCTTCTTTCAACTTACGGATTGTCGGCTGGAGAGAGGGCACCACCCAGCGCACAGCCGCCTGCATGCACCGGTCCAATCAACAATGAGAGATCATGGGGTGCGCGATGCTCACTTTCGTGCTGCCATTCTTTGTCCAGTCCTTCGGAACATTCTTCTGACTGGGTTTGGTTTGTACAAGGTAGATTTCCTGCGTATCACAAACGTCAAGATTTCATTAGTCAGACTATAACGTCTCTCACACCTTTGTTCCCTGGGCACTGTGCCAATATGACAAGTTGACGCTAGCCACTGGCTCAGCTATGGCTCGACTGAAAAATGCGTCGCAGCATACCCAAGCTTACGTTCCATCGTTTTGAGTTCATCGTCGAGCTCCTCCTCCAGGCCTCGTATTTCATCCATGATGTCATCATAAACCTTGTCCTTTCCATCTTCTGGCACCAGTTCGTCGGCGTCTTGATGAAGGGAAGTCACAACCAGGAACTACCAGAGGACGAAATGCACGTACTTTCTTCTGCCTTCTTGAACATTGCAGTTACGTGTTTGATGTTCGGCAGCAGATTGGGCGCAGAGCGAAGTAGTCCCAGAACCGTCTTCGATTCAAAAGACTCGGCAGACTCGGCCAGCTCAGACAAGCCGCCGCTAAGACTCTTGAAGGACTAGAATACCCAGTTTTAACACGCGGTGATAGAGCACTGTAGGATGCATAAACCCTACTTTCAGAACCTTAAGGAAGTCTTTCACGCGACAATTCTTGGCATGTATGCGGGACACGATACGTTCAAGATCCGGTAAACCTTTCGCTATTTTCATGAATTCAGCTTCGAAGGTCGGATGGTCCATGAGATCTTGAACAGCATCCAACCTTGCCGCGACATGGTCAGTCTAATGGAACAATCTCGCATCGACTTGACTCACCTTGCGTCGATGTCGGATACGTCACGCAATGGCATGCAAAGCCACATACGGAATAGTCGCTTGCCTGATTCAAGACGCTAGTCAGATTTGCATGACTGAAAGAGTGTTGCTTCTGACCAGATGGGGTAATACAGCGCGAGAGCAACTTGAGCAATGAACCCTCCTCAGTGCCTTCGCTGTTCATGAGAACCTGTCGACTGTCATACCTTTCAGATTTCATTGAACGCCAAAGGAATACCCACTTCAATATGCGCAAGGGTCTGCCCATCAAGAACGAGGCCCTGACCACGCTTCATGGGGTCGTAGATATTGAAATTCTTCATGCTCAAGATCTCCTTGTCGATATTAAGAGTGTTGAGATACCTGTCGAATATACTTGTCAACTTAGTTCAAACAGGTGCAAAAATAGGATACATGCCAGATCATGGACCCCAAAGCTTCAATCGCACTCTTGCATCCTGCCATCTCCCGAATCGCTTCAGGCACAGCTGTGCTTAGACCATGCGCGGCATCGCTTAGATCATCGTCGTCGGCAGACGCGGGATACAACTTCTTCAGTTCCTTAAGAGTCTTCTCATATGTGAGGCCCTCGCATTCACGCAAACTGGTCCACAGACAATTTCCAGGAAGAATGGCCTTAAGAAGGCGCGTCGTCGACACCGATAGGTTGCCCTTCAAGAGGGAAAGCCTCAAGAATTAATTTTGGAACAATCATGCGAAAGGGGGTATAGTACCTTCGTAAAGATAATCTCTTTGGGACGAAGTTGCCGCATGAGCGTCTCGAGCCTAGTACGGCAGACATCATCCTCAAAGGCGCTCAGATTGAACTCGCTGGTAGAGCTATCAAGGACGCAGATTCCGAAGGCCTGTCGGCCATCCTTGTCTTCTAGCGTCTCTTCCTCCTTGATGGAGACACAGTGACCGGCTTGCTCGTCGGTGAGCAGCGCCTCATCCACGAGAGTTCCGTTCGTGTACACCTTGTTGAGCTCACGCCTCACGATCTTGTCCTTGCCCTTGTCTTCTGTGGCCTTCCCGCCTTTCTTACCAGCAGCAAGACGCATCTCGGCTCCAAGTGCGGTCTCGGCCTGGTCCACTCGTCCTACTTTATATCCTATGAGAGGATATGCCAGACAAGCACAGTTCCGTCAATACACGGCATGCGATGGTGAAACTGTACAACACCTTTGGCGAGGAACTTCGCCGCCCAGAAGTTGAATGCCATCTCAGGCACGCCGACCTAGTCGAGGGTCACTAAAGGTCCCCAAGACATGGATGTAAGCGTTTAAAACGTACCATGCTCATCTTTACTCGGTGCGTCAATTTCAAGTCAAACTCACTATGACCAATCCGGGCGTCCTCCTCGTACAGTTCTAGAAATTTGCCTTTCTGAAAGAATAATACTGTATCGAAATGATTTTGCTTGATTTCCCAGAACTACACGTGTGGTAAATGATGAGATGATTGTGTAAGCCGCCAACATTGTGAACACTCACTTGTTTCTCGAAAGGAGTGAACTCCTTCCAGGCTTGAGGTGGGATATACAAGGTACGCGGATCATATCCTGGCTGGCCTGGACGCACGCCGTCCTTGTCTCTTACGTCTTGTAGGAAATAGAACGGATCTTCCGAGCTCTTCTTCTCCGCCTTTTTGTCTTGTACGCGTCGTTCCGCTGCAGTCAGGAACGTATTGCTGCCGCCAGATGCCTGATCCTTTGTGAGGTATGGGTGCTTGGCTGTCTTCTTTGTTGCCTTCGGCCGCTCGGGGACGTCTGACTCGGCCTCAGAGACTGTAGAGGAATGCGCATATGCGGACAAACGCGAAGATGGGCGCGACGACTCTGTCTCAGACATACGGGACGACGCTCGTGAGCGACTCCGGTGCGAACTTTCATCTTCGTCCTCGTCCACATCATCAGGCACAATGAAATCGTCATCGTTTGGAGCGACTAAGAAGTGTTTAGGAAAACGCGCTCGCGTCGGTGAATAGCACTGACCTTTCCTAGCCTTGCTCTTCGTGGACGGTTTCTCATATTTAGTTAGTCGCTGCGAAAAGGAACGCACTCGAGACATGGCATCGTCATCGTCGCTATTGTCGTTATTGGGATCAGTTATCTCGCCAGAGAGCATCGTGGAAACGCGGGGCTTCTTCTGTGGGCCTTTCGCTGTACGCCCAGGAGAGCGCTTTCGAGCAGACAACCCTTCCTTGTACGCGACCGCGTCTATCTGGCCACCCTCCTCGTCAGATTCGTCGAGGACGATTTTGCGCTTTTGCCGCAGTGCAGGCTAGACACATAATGACTAAAGAGAAGAACGAGAATTGTTGTGCCACTCACAGGCTTGGCTGTACTTTTCACGCTTGCGCCATCATCTTCGTCCGACAACATGTCAATGTCGATGGGGTCACTTGTGGGTGGTGTGTCTTTTCCACTCCATCCTCCGTCTGAACTTCTGGTATAGGTTGCATCGACGATGCCAGACGACCGCGTGTTGCTTTTGGATAGTGGAGTGGCAACCTCAAGTAGGGGCGAGTCTGAGGACGTGTCGTGAAGAACGTCTTTAGAAGCGAAAGGAGACGTCAATTTCCCAGCCTTCTTCGAGCTGTTACTCTCGCATTTCTCAGGAGTACTGGTCGATGGTTTCCCAAAGAATGACATGAGGCTTTTCTGCTTGAGTTTGTCCGCAGACTGAGCTTTAGACTGATTATTGGCGGGAGCCATGATGTTCTCTATTGTCTCAGTATGTAGCTGAAAGTCGTTCCCGGAGCGTAGGACCCCTGGAGAGTGGTTAAGGGACAGTTGATGCCAGCAACGATCCGAAGAAGGCAGCGATACGTTAAAGTAACACGCGCCCGTTACGCGAACGCGTTATTTTGTCTTGTTTGCAGTGCTCATTTAGCGCCGGTTATCGATCATCGCTACTCAGTACTCGGTAGTGAATGGGTTATGTATAATTATGCAGACTGTTGTCTATATACGAGGATAAATGCAGTTACATTGGTATCTTCCATCCCCCTGCCAACCCCATAATGTTGGTCGGATCGTGCAATTCTTTCAGGGTAATAAGCTCGGGTAAGGCAGCTCCATATACCAAGTTCAACGGAGTTCCGTACACCGCATAGTTCGGATAGTGTGGTGCGTCCTGTACGGATGTCTGGCCCTCAACCAAGGCCACCGCAGTAAGGACGGCTGCACTTGCGACAATCGCATTGTAGAAGTCAGTGTCATATTGCGAAAGCTCCCAGCCGAAGTAGAGGTTCAGTGGCAGGAAACGCTGAGCGCGCGTATGCGGGTAGGCCGACGGACCACCATGATCGAGGATGGTCGGTAGGAATGGTTCAATATCAATGCTGATGATACCAGCAGATTCGCCAAGTAGCTCG